AGAACCTACTAACATCCGTGGCGCATCAACCGCAGGGCCTAGCCAGACATATTTTTAAATAGACAAATCCACACTTGACGGGTGATGTGGTCAACAGCCTACTGACCACCTTTACTACCCAGATCATTTCCTGGCACCTATTTTCGACCGGGCTGTTTTTTTTTTTTTTAAATCTGCAGACCTTAAAGTCAAAAGGTAAGTTCCCATTAATATACACGTTACTAGTGTAATAAATAGTGCTATCTTAGCAGTTTGAATCACAACATCAACTACTGAGAAACAGCTATCAGACTTATAAGAAGGAAAGAGGGTAAACAAGAAATACAATACACAAGTGTCCTAGTGAAATGAAAGATGGGAGAGGGCAAGAAAACGAGTAGAAAGAGATAATGTCTTCTCCCCACTTACAAATTGTATTATTATTTTTGTGTTCTTGTTATGGTCAAGACAGACAATTTCATAAATGCTGTTTTGATTCAAAATAATCTGCAAAACAAGCTCAAGCCGTAGTGGTTAAGAGTAGTAGCTTTCTGAAGATATAAAACGGCAAAGAATCCAATTTCTGTACAGAAACAAATAATAATTCCATCTGGCTCTATGTAATGTAATTTAACAACACTTTGAATATAAAAAACAAAGGCTTACTATTGTTACCATCTTAAACTTTTTAAATAGTGTTACCTCCCCAGAGAGAAGTTAACTCATTAACTATCATAACCAAAACAGTTAATGAGTTGATTATGTACAGGGTAAATGTATTCTGCTTAACTGTCAATCGCTGAGTTACTTTTAACTGGCAACTGACGAGTCACCAGTAACAATGTTATTTTCAATGGCAACCAATGTGTCACAATTTTTTTAAAAAAAAATGCTATTTTGATCTGAAAACCAGTGAACCACAACCAAGACACCTGCAATGAAGGTAAACTGAAAAGAACCCTGAATCCCTGCAAGTTCATTAGACAATGTGTGTTTTCCACACAGACAATGCATTCTCCATATGGACACTAAGCGTTTTTCACACAGACTGCATTTTACATAGGGACAATATGTGCTTTCCACACAGACAATGCATTCTCCATATGGACAATATGGGTTTTCCACACAGACAATGCATTTTCCATATGGACAATATGCATTTTCCATATAGACAATGTATTTTCTACATGGACAGTAAATATGTGTTTTCCACCCCTAACCGTAAACATATAAACAGCTCAAAACAACTGACATCTGACAGCACTTATCCAAGTCTCAAAATAGCCAGATTTTGTAATTAAGAGAAGCCAGAGCATTAAAAAATGGCCACACCCCAGTATATAAGCAGATGATGAAATGAAAACCGAGATCTTGACTGCCCAGTTTCTGCTAGATCTGAAAGTAAAAAATAAAGATAATCTGTTTCAGTAAATGCTTTTATAACATTCAATAACCAGTGCTCAACGCATAGATTCCGGGACAAAACTGTAGGGAAAAACAATGCCTACCCAAAAGCATACAGTAAGAAGAGTCAACAAATTGGGAGCTTCCTTCAAAGTCAGAGTGCATCTGTCTGAGAGGCAAGAAACAAACAGTCTGCATATAAATAAGTCAGATCTACAGTCCAGAAACAGATGAACAACCAGAACTTCCTGCCGGAGTTTACAGCCCGTGAACATGAAGAAGTTTAACTAGTACCTGTGAGGACAGGTGTAGTTATCAAGTGGTGTGATAGAATCACTAATGGAGAACTTTGTGAGAGAGCTTAACAAACTCCAGTGAAGTAAGAGGTGAAGAAAATATGCTAGCAGTGGATAGGATATATACATTAAGAGAATCTGATAATAATATACTAAAATGTCTCTGGAGTGGAATGCACAGGGTCGAGGGAATAAAGGCAGGAAAAAACATAAAGAGAAGGCAAGTAAGGTAAAGGTCCCTTCACATGCCAGTGATGTTCTGGTATTCTAGGCTAGACTAACATTATATTTATATATATACACTGATTGCCCCCGTTGGGTGATATGGTCAATATCACGCGGGCCGACGTCATACCCAGGACTTTAACTAGTATCTATTTAAGGCTGGGTCGACCCGAGAGCCAAGGCCATGCTTGAAAAAACAAAAAGAACAAAACAGCACTATGAGGATTTGAGCGTTAGTGAATGAGGTGATCTGCCTTTCCCCCTCTAAAATGGGACACCGGAACCCATACAGTGAGGTCTTGAGAAATGACCTTGGCTCCCAGGAGGCCTCAACCTAAAATGGGTTGGGTATCAAGTAAAGTCCTGGGAAGTACGGAGAGGGGGGGGGGAAGGCAGTGTGGTGCTGAGTGCATCACCCATCGAGTACTGATAGCTCTTTGAAAATAAGTCTGGCATCATGTGCCAGTGGTGTGGGAATTGTCATTCACTTACAGATGACCTGTCAAAACCAGAGGAGGGGGAGGGGGGGAGTTAACCATCACCTTCATGGGCCATAGCTTTCACTTGACATGCCTATAATGAATACTTGGCACTATATGGTGAGACAAGATCAGGAACACTGAGGCATTGGAAAGAGGAGATATTAAAACAGTTTTGTCAGTGCTCAGTCCATGAATGCTCAGATGCCTGTGTCACACATAGAGAATGGAGAATGTCCCTAAGCACATCCTCTAGAGTTATTTACAGATGGGTAGAAGATGTCGAGGGTGACCTCTTCTACATTATAAACATGTACACAAGTGGGACAGGAATGATGCAAGTATTGAGGTGAACTCGTGGGAACAAAATGCCATTGGACCGTGCAGTGTTGAGGGGGCACATCAGAAAGTGAATGAGATTAAGGAAGTCATGATTGCAGAAGGATGAGAGCTGAGCATCTGAGAAGAATCACACTAAGTACATGGGATGGCAACCCATGTCCTGAAATCTCATGCTGAAACTGTGGAAGACTTTTCTTATTGCAAGAGGGTCTTGCTAGTCACACTCGCCATTGATGTGAACTGTGAGCCCTATGCTTCATAATACATTATAACACTATCTTCTAGAAAGACAGAAAGGTGCCCACAGCAGTAAGACGTGCCACACTGATAAATTGCATGTATAGTCGGATTCCAAGCAACATTTTCAAGTAGCTGTATAGTTCACAAGCATTACTGTCTTTTATCTCTCATTGGAGCATAGGCCTTTATAAAGCAACTCGCAAGCTTCACTGGGAAGGTCACAGGTAGTGAGCATAACCTGCATCTTTTCTCCAGGCTATGCCGGCGTAGTGGGTAATGAACAGGCAGACAGATTGGCTGGATCGGCACCACTGGGTGGTGAATTGATACAGGACATGGCAGGTGCGGTCAAGGCCCTTTGGGAACAAGCAACGAAGTCAGTAGAGAAACAAGATTATTATTGCCTGGAGAGAATTCTTGACTCAACTCAACTCTTCCATTCTAATCTGTGCAAGTGATGTAATATGATGGATGGAATCCAGTCCAATCCCTCTGGCATCTCTCATAAATGTTCGCCTAAGGTGTTTTTTTCGGCATCCTCGTCGCCTCAGTCCATGTGTTTCCCATTCAAATGCCTGTTAGGTGATTCACTGCTTGCTTCTTAGGATGTGCCCAATATACTGTCATCTTTTTTCTTTCTGTTTTGTAACTGGTGATACCAGTGGTATCCTAAACAGTACTCTTATTTGTTCACCTTTACTGTGATTAGATGGGCTAGGATTATCATTATATATGTAATAACTACACTAAAGCCACATGACCTACCTCATCAATATCATCGTCGTCATCATCATCATCAAAGCCATCAAAGGTGATGTTCTCATCAATTTCGTCATCAAATGTATTCTCATTAATTTTAGCTGGAATCACAAATACGGCAAATTTGTATTATAAACATGACAAATCCTTTTAAAAAGCTGTTCTTACTAGGACTAGCTTCACTGTTTTCAGCTCTTTTAGAACCAATCAACGTATCATACATTTACACATTACACAAGATAAGGCAGTGGACTTCAACCTGAGGTGAGCAAGGAAGTTTTGACAGGGACGCTGAGCAATTCTGAAACTGAGTTCATTTGTAATTGTAATAATCTAATATACCAAACATTTGTGTGTTTTTATTATATATTTTTTTTTTAAACTATATATAAAATAAAAAGCCAAGGGAGCTCATTCATCCGGTACTTTGATTTATGTGGATGTTTTCTGCCAGATATTATTTGAGCTTGTGATTTTTTTTCTTTTTAACCACATGCTTTAAAGATGTGTGCTTGGGGGGTGGGGTGTGTGTGTGTGTGTGTGTGCGCGCGCGCGCGCATTACTCACAGCTCACCCCAATTTTTTTTTCATTTCCAATTCCTTTCTTAGTGTTTTTTTATGAACAACAGAATGGAGAGGTAATTTACATGCACACCTACAAACACTTGCATCACCAAGTTAAAGGTTTAAAAAAAGGTTACAGTAGAGAGAGGATCGACTTTATTGCATCGGGTTTTATCCCATATGACTCGGTCTCTCTTCGTAGAACGGCTAGCTGCCTGCCGAGAGTACCAGCACAAACTCTGTAGCTACAGCGATGATTCCCAGGGATCTTCTTAAACATTGCAAGGGCACAGTCGTGGAATGAACCAACAACCTTCAGAGCTCGAGGCTTGACCAATTCACCAAGAATCGTCAAGTGGAAAGAGAAGGCCATTCAATGAATAAACAAACTTTATTTTCAAAGGGTCACAAATAGGGCTCGCAGGCCCGCCTTACATTTAGCCCTTCCAAATATGCATATTTTAGACCGCAACTTTATTTCATCAATAAAGCATTCATTTTATATTCATATAAAAGGAAATGAATGGAGACAGGTGATAACTGCATCAACGAACCTCAAGGGTCAAAATGCTGAAAAAAAACTGTGTTTTCTGATCTGCCCCTATCTATTTGACCCTGTGGTTCCAGTGCATGGACTTTCTAGTCTGGAAGACTTTGTCCATGATATAAATATAAAAAAACATTAACCCCAAAACACTACAGAAACAATTACCAGAATCAGGCAATTCCCCGTAGGCTTTCAAGTTACGAGCTTCATCAGCGGTGTACTTCAGGATCACGTCTGCTTTGGTATCTTGGTAGTCCCGCAAGCCCAGCAAGATGATGTCACCACCGTTGATCCAAACCTGATGTAGCATCAAACAAACAACTTCCCATGTAGTACCAGAATGATCATCTTAATCAATGTTGTATTTTTAAAAAAAAACTTTATTGCTGTATTTACCATTTTTTGGGCAACTGGAAAACATTAACAAGTGTTTTGTCTGTGTGCAGACTGGCACGCTTCCAGTGTAGGCTGTATTTCCAAGGACTATCCATGTCTGACACTGGTAGCATAGTTTGAGCACAAACAAAGCATCTACTAATGTTTTCCTTATCTGCATAGTGACTATCAGATGTTTTCGAATTAGTTCTTTTTAATAACTAATTTATTCTGATGATTACTGGAAACTATAAATCTCTTTTAAACAGTGAAAAGGCAGAAAATTAATGGTACAGACATGTAATAAGATCAGGGCTCAGTAGAAGGGAAGAGGCAGACCAAGAAAGATCTGGATAAAGAACTTGACTGACTGGACAGGCCTTTGGCAGGCAACCATGAAGTCCATCACATCTGACCATCGAAGGTGGGGGGAGCTGATCAGACAGTCAACAGCAACTGGTGACCCAATGACACACAGTGTTACGAGATGATGATGATTAATGTTATTTGCCTCCTGACTTCTCTGTCCAGTCTGCTATCCTCTGAGAGGATGCTTTCCTGGCTTTTAAACTCTTTCACTGTGTAGTTTCCACCTGTGTCTCAACTATAGGTGGTAGTGGACTTCAACAGCTATGTCAATGGTAGCTTAGCTAATGGCAGGTTCTCCCCTGATCAGGAACAAGAACACAGAAAGAAGACATAAACTTGCTGCCATATAAAAAAGTTAGTTGGGCATCTTTTACAGGACGTTGCAGAACCAACCCCAGCATTTTTGGGGAGCTGTTGTGATTTTCTAAGACACACACACACATACATACTGTATATTCTATTAAAATTATGTGACAACCACACAATGAAAGTTTCCACCAGTGTACCCCTGATGTCTTTGGGAATATGTGGTGAAGCCCCAATCTCTTCCATGGTTTGCCCGGCTCTCTAGCGTAGTTGGCCTTGTGGTCCGGGTTCAATCCCGAGGGTAGGCAGGAAAGCCACATTTTCTCCCAGATTTATGATATTTACAATGGAATCAAAGCCGAAAGGTTGAGATATCCATAATACCGAGCCTAAGGGTTAACAACTCATGGCTTCTGAATACTAAAACAAACAAAAAAACTTCTATGGTTCGACTCTCGCTTAAATATCTAAAAATCACGAGAATGTGTGTGTTTTTTTAACAGTCCAGCGCTGGGAACAAACCCTAGTACTCAAGGGTCATGAAATTAACTGCGTTTGTTAACCTCTGAACTATGGAGCCACATGTAAATATATGTTATGGACAGTCAAAGGTGACTAAAGGCAAATGCAGAAAAAAATGCTTTTCAAAATCAGATGAGTTGCAAGCTTGATGGAACAGCACAACATAACTCACTTCACAAACTGCGGTTACGTACTAGCAACTTTCAGGTTGCTTTAAGGATTATCCTGCACGACTTATTATCTTCTTCTTTAACTCAAGTGGAAAGTTCTGGTTGTTCGTCCATCTCTGGATTTTAGTTTTGTTCTAGAACCTGAGTTTTGCATACGCAGCTGTCGTACAGATCTTGCTTATTTGTATGGAGAGTGGTGGTTCCTTGCCTCTCAGACAGACCGACTCTGACTTTGAAGCGAGCTCCCAATTAGTAGACACTTATGACACGCTTGTTGGTTAGGCAGTGGGTCTATTCTTTTTACTTCACAAATGGGACCCAGAACCCACATGGGAAAAATGTATTAACAACAAGGACGCAAACATATGTAGTATCACATACAACACTGACTGTACCTTTTTACGCAGCTTGCCTCGTATGTGACACAGTCTTTTGGTGCCATCAAAACACATGGCCTCCAGACGGCCATTTCCTAACATCTTGGTAACTTGAGCATACTCTTGACCTTCCTCTTTGAAAATCAACTCTCGCTTTTCATTTTCGTTTTCATTTTTACCCCTTCTTCTGTTTTTACCTCCCTTTCCTGCAAAAACAGAAACATGTAATGTTATCTTTTATATTCAAGTACCTTATAAATTCAATCTGGTGAACATTCTTCCTTCCAATGGTTTTCAGAAGAAGACGCCACAGGCCTCTAGGAAGACTGTGGTGCAACTGATCAATACAGCTTTGTCTCCACTGGGATGCCCACAGCGCCAAACCTAGGAATTTTCTACTGCACACGTTCAGATTCTGTGGTGCCTGTCCACAAAGTTCTGAATTTTCAGTCTTGAATTTCTTGTATAGATGGCTGCAGAGTATCTGGTGTACATTTAGTCATTTCTGCCCGTTATTTTACTGGGATGCAGCTCAGCATCCATTTTAAGCCAGATTCCACTATAAATTGTCTATGGTCGTATCCGCCGCCACTAAAATGTTAATAAACAATAACGCTCAGAACTGACCTACTACAGTAGTGTCTACAGGCTTCAATGAAGTATCATTAGATTGGATATTTTCATCTCTATCCAGCTGTGATAGACCCATTATTAACAATTTAAAACCCAGCACATTAGCCACATAAATTTAAAAACTTGTCTAGCATCTTGTTTAATTACTTTACTCAGTTCAATGGACAATCAATGTAATTAAATTAAATTATTAATAATTATTATTTTACGAGAAGCCAACATTTAACGCACAGATAGACAGTTTAACAACATAACTTTAAATGTACAAAATAAGAATAAAAAATCCTCAACGTCGTAGAGACTGACAATTTTCTTAAAGTACTTCGTGACGGCGACGCAATTAAATCTCCTAATGAAATGTAATCTTATCACAGAGACTCAACTGGGCCTCGGCCTCGTCAGTCAGTAAGCAAGCTAGATTACTTGACCAAGGTCGGATTCATAAATATAACGTAAGAAAACCATCAATAGAAATATTAAGTGGCGGAAAACTTTACCTTTATTTTTCGGCATGGCTGTTTAGTATCCTGGTGAGGCTGACAACAAGGTTGTGTGTAAATCTTCTGGCTATTATTACTTCTGGGGTACTATACTACCGTTGGCTGTGTGAAAACACCATTGCTAATTACCGGAAACCAGCAGTTGTGTCCCATAATTCCATTGTGGTTGTGTCACCCGGCAAGCTCCTCAATATTTTAGTCCAATTCTTTCTCTATGTGACTTCTTTCTCGTTTAGGGTGCTGGCTTTGGATTCTTATTTCTTTCTTTCTTTGTTATCTTCTCCTTTATGCTTCGCCCTCTTCCTCTCACCCTTTCTCTTCATACTTCTTCAGTCTTCGATACATTTAGTGTTTTTTTTTGGCCACAGTTATCACCCGCCACAATTCATCTCTGTAACTGGTCTTCTCTGCATGTGTTTGTAGCTCTGCCGACTGCCTTATATTATCTCTCCACGCTCTTTTTGGTCTGCCTCAACTCTTCTAAGTAGGCAGCTTCTGCCTGTTATCTGACATTCTCTATGTCCCAACATAGGTGTAGTCTATTAGCCCTTATGATGCCAGTAATATGATGAATAATCTTTTCCTCGTCACTTAGTAAGCTCTGGTTTACAGTTAGGCTTGATAGCTGCATCTTTCAGCCCAATACTATTTCAGAGGTTAGCATCCTTTTGATATTTTCTCCAGGTAATGCCGGTGTGTTGGAAAATGAGCAGCCAGATAGATTGGCTGGCTCTGCACCACTTAGTGAATTGATGTATGACAAGTTAGATTTTGTGAGGGCCCTTTGGAAGCGAGTGAACAGTGCGGAGGTGCAGATAGATTATCAGGGTCTAAGGAGAACGGCGCTGCAAGGAGTTACCAGGGGATCTGGTCGATGCTCAACACTCAGGGGAAGGATGAGACGGATATACAGACAGTTACTGGTACCATTGGAATTGGAACTCTTCGCTTGTTGCTGAAGATGGGAATTGAGCACTTATGGGAGTGTCCCAAGTGCTGTGATGTCGATTCCTAATTCAACATTCAGCCCAATACACTCGATTTCAACAAACTCCTAAATGGTTCGTCATTTATTCGTCTTTTACAACATGCTTGTCAGGGAAGCAATGAGACTACCCAGCCCCCCCCCCCCAATAGGGTCCAAGAACTCACATGGGGAAATATCTCCATGGATTTTGTGAACTAAATACAAAGTGCTGGCACATCATTTATGCGCATGGATTAAAGTAGGAAAATATATGTACCTAAAAACTACATTTGATATCAATTATAGTACACTACCCTTTGGGTTCCGGGGCTCCATTTTAGAGAACAAAGAAATATACCCACTGCTTCAAACAACCATGTCATTGGAGGCGACTAATTAGGAGTGTTTTCTTCATAGCCTGAGAGGCAAGGAACCAACAGTCAGTGGTGTAGCACATTCCAATCCTCCCCCCCCCCCCCCTTTTTTTCATATGTATCATGATTTTAACAAGATTTTTGTATGCCATTATTTAACCCCCCCCCCCCCCCCCCCCCACCCCCATCCCAATACAATTTTTAACTGGTAAAAATACTTATGCCTATATCCCCCCCCCCTCATACAATTTTTACTGGTAAAAATACTGATGCCATATGAACCCCCCCCCCCCCCCCCCCCCAGACAATTTGGAATTGGTAAAAATACTTATGCCCTTATGGGGAACCCCCCCCCCCCCCCCCCCCCATACAATTTGTAATTGGTAAAAATACTTATGCCATTATGTCACCCTTCTCTCCCATACAATTTTTTAACAGGTAAAAATACTTATGCCATTTTGTCAGATAAGAAACTGATAAGCTACATTACTCCATTTACCCCAGTGTTAACTCTGCACCCATTACCTAGAGGCTCGGTGAACCACAGGAACCGCTCAGTTACTAACACCAGCTGTGGGCTGCAGCGATTTACAGCTGGATTTGAAAGCGAGTCTCCAATCGACTACGCTAGTGTGGCCCCTTAAGTATGAACACAAAAATAGATTATAAACAGCAAATTCATACCAACACTTTGTGGCGTCTACTTACACCTTTTATTAGACACTTTGTGGCATCTACCACCACCTTTTATTAGACACTTTGTGGTGTCTACCACCACCTTTTATTAGACACTTTGTGGCATCTACTACCACCTTTTATTAGACACTTTGTGGCGTCTACCTCCACCTTTTATTAGACACTTTGTGCCGTCTACTACCACCTTTTATTAGACACTTTGTGGCGCCCACCACCACCTTTTATTAGACACTTTGTGGCGTCTACCTCCACCTTTTATTAGACACTTTGTGCCGTCTACTACCACCTTTTATTAGACACTTTGTGGCATCTACCTCCATCTTTTATTAGACACTTTGTGGCGCCCACCACCACCTTTTATTAGACACTTTGTGGCATCCACCTCCACCTTTTTTTAGACACTTTGTGGCGCCCACCACCACCTTTTATTAGACACTTTGCGGCATCTACTACCACTGTTTATTAGACACTTTGTGACATCTACCTCCACCTTTTATTAGACACTTTGTGGCGCCCACCGCCACCTTTTATTAGACACTTTGTGGCATCTACCTCCACCTTTTATTAGACACTTTGTGGCATCTACTACCACCTTTTATTAGACACTTTGTGGTGCCTACCACCACATTTTATTAGACACATTGCGGCATCTACCACCACCTTTTAATAGACACTTTGTGGCGTCTACCCCCCACATTTTATTAGACACTTTGTGGCGCCTACTTCTACCTTTTATTAGACACTTTGTGGAGTCTACCTCCACCTTTTATTAGACACTTTGTGGCATCTACTACCACCTTTTATTAGACACTTTGTGGCGTCTACCTCCACCTTTTATTAGACACTTTGTGCCGTCTACTACCACCTTTTATTAGACACTTTGTGGCGTCCACCACCACCTTTTATTAGACACTTTGTGGCGTCTACCCCCCACATTTTATTAGACACTTTGTGGCGCCTACTTCTACCTTTTATTAGACACTTTGTGGAGTCTACCACCACCTTTTATTAGACACTTTGTGGCATCTACTACCACCTTTTATTAGACACTTTGTGGCATCTACCTCCACCTTTTATTAGACACTTTGTGGCGTCCACCACGACCTTTTATTAGACACTTTGTGGCATCTACTACCACCTTTTATTAGACACTTTGTGGCGCCTACCACCACCTTTTATTAGACACTTTGCGGCATCTACCACCACCTTTTATTAGACACTTTGTGGCATCTACTACCACCTTTTATTAGACACTTTGTGGCATCTACCTCCACCTTTTATTAGACACTTTGTGGCATCTACTTCCACCTTTTTTTAGACACTTTGTGGCGCCCACCACCACCTTTTATTAGACACTTTGTGGCGCCTACCACCACCTTTTATTAGACACTTTGTGGCATCTACTACTACCTTTTATTAGACACTTTGTGACGTCTACCAACACCTTTTATTAGAGACTTTGTGGCGTCTAAAACCACTGTTTATTGGACCATTTGTGGCATCTACCATCACCTTTTATTAAACACTTTGTGGCAGCTACCACCACCTTTTATTAGACACTGTGGCGTCTACCTACAACTTTAATTAGACACTTTGTGGCATCTACTACCACCCTTTATTAGACACTTTGTGGCATCTACCTCCACTTTTTATTAGACACTTTGTGGCATCTACTACCACCTTTTATTAGACACTTTGTGGCATCTTCTACCACCTTTTATTAGACACTTTGTGGCATCTACTACCACCTTTTATTAGACACTTTGTGGCATCTACTACCACCCTTTATTAGACACTTTGTGGCATCTACTACCACCCTTTATTAGACACTTTGCGGCATCTACCACCACCTTTTATTAGACCCTGTGGTAAGTACCAACACTCTTTTTCAAGAAAAAAGCCCCAGATGGATATAAGCATACAAGTATACCTATCTTTATATCAGCGGTGTATACACGTATACTTTTCTTTACATCAGAGGTGTATACAAGTATACCTATCTTTGCATCAGGGGTGTATACAAGTATACCTATCTTTGCATCAGGGGTGTATACAAGTATACTTATCTTTACATCAGGGGTGTATAAAAGTATACTTATCATTACATCAGGGGTGTATTCAAGTATACTTATCATTACATCAGGGGTGTATTCAAGTATACTTTTCTATACATCAGGGGTGTATACAAGTATACTTATCTTTGCATCAGGGGTGTATACAAGTATACTTATATTTGCATCAGGGGTGTATACAAGTATACTTATATTTGCATCAGGGGTGTATACAAGTATACTTATCCTCACATCAGGGGTGTATACAAGTATACTTATCCTCACATCAGGGGTGTATACAAGTATACTTATCTTCACATCAGGGGTGTATTCAAGTATACTTATCTTCACATCAGGGGTGTATACAAGTATACTTATCTTTACATCAGGGGTGTATACAAGTATACTTATCCTCACATCAGGGGTGTATACAAGTATACTTATCTTCACATCAGGGGTGTATTCAAGTATACTTATCTTCACATCAGGGGTGTATACAAGTATACTTATCTTTTCATCAGGGGTGTATACAAGTATACTTATCTTTATATCAGGAGTGTATACAAGTATACTTATCTTTTCATCAGGGGTGTATACAAGTATACTTATCTTTTCATCAGGGGTGTATACAAGTATACTTATCTTTACATCAGGAGTGTATACAAGAATACTTATCTTTACATCCGGGATGTCAGAATATGGGAGCTCAGACACCTTGAATTCCCCCACCAACCTTTTTTCTGCCCAAACTGACACTTCCTTCCAAGTCTGAGTACATCTGCTAGAGATCATCAATCAGTTCTCTTTATGCCTAGTGGCACATGTGGCTTCAGAGAGGACGTTCCATGCTTTCCTGTCCTGTGCAATTTTCAGTGCAGATTTTTATGTCAGAGATGCCGCACGCAGCTCACCACCTTACTATATT